CAAAGACCATGCCCATTTCCCTAGTCTTAACACAAGCCTAACACATAGCAGGTGCTTAATAAATACTTCAGTAGCAAGAGTCCAAGTCTCACCAGATGCCACTTGAATGTGTTAACAGCAGAACAGGGCAGTGGTTAAGGGCAGAGACTTCAGATTGGCAGACCTGGGAAGTCTGAGTGCCAGCATTGCCAACCTCCAGCTATTTGGCCTGGGAAATATTTCTTATCTTTTGTTAGCCTGTTTCCTCAACTGTCGCTTTACAATACCACCTACCTTACAGAGACTGAGATAATGCATCTTTTTATTTATTTTATTTTATTTTTTTAGATAGTCTCGCTCTGTCACCCAGGCTGGAGTGCAGTGGCATGATCTCGGCTCACTACAGCCTCTGCCTCCTGGGTTCAAGCAGTTCTTGTGTCTCAGCCTTTCGAGTAGCTGAGATTACAGGCATGCACCACCACACTCAGCTAATTTTTTTGTATTTTTAGTAGAGACGGGTTTCTCCATGTTGGTCATGGTGGTCTCGAACTGCTGGCCTCAACCATCCGCCTGCCTTGGCCTACCAAAGTGCTGGGATTACAGGTGTGAGCCACCACGCCAGATGGAGAAAATGTATCTAAAGGGGTTGGCACACTGCCTGGCACAGAGAAGCACTCAATAAATGGTTGCCATTATTATTATTATTGATGATAGCAACAATCAGTTAAGTATCAAGATTAGAAAAAAATCTTGGCACTAGAACCATTAAGACTCCAAAAATCGAGGTTGCAGTGAGCCGAGATGGAGCCACTACACTCCAGCCTGATGACAGAGAGATTCCATCTCGAAAAATAATAATAAAGACTCCAAAAATCAAAGTGACTTACTCATGTCACAAATTTAGTAAGTGGCAAAATCAAGTTCGGAACCCATTATCAATGCAAAGTAACTTCTTTAAGCTGTCAGCTCTTTGGTGAAAGTGCTTTGTGACCTACACTACACCCAGACTGTGGATTCAGGATATTCATAGAAGCACCTGGCATATCGCATTCTTAGGTATTTGTGTCTCTAAACTTGAACTTGGGCTAATGTACCTTGGGGCAAGTTCCTAATTACGGTACTGTTGATCTTTCCTATTGTCCACCATAATTATCTATTAAACTAGTAATCAAATGATTCCTCCTTGAAGCCTTCCCTAGATCACTGGTTCTTAAGGGCAGAGAGTAGAGAAGTGCTAAAGCCTAAAACCTCAAAATACATGCTCCCTTCTCCTTTTGAGAACTACTTTGTTAAATGAAGTTTTAGACTATTGCAAGTATGTTCACCAGAGTATGCACTTACACTCTTTTTCCAGTCTCACTTGTAGCAGAGGTTCTTTTAGTATTAGAAAACTTCAGCCAGGCGCAGTGGCTCATGCCTGTAATCCTAGCACTTTGGGAGGCTGAGGTGGCTGGATCTCCCGAGGTCAGGAGTTCGAGACCAGCCTGGCCAACATGGTGAAACCCCATCTCTACTAGAAATACAAAAAAATTAGCCAGGCGTGGTGGTGGGCACCTGTAATCCCAGCTTCTTGGGAACCTGAGGCAGGAGAATCGCTTGAACCCGACAGGAGGCGGCGGCAGTGAGCTGAGAATGCATCATTGCACTTCAGCCTGTGCAATAAGAGTGGAACTCCATCTCAAAAAAACCAAAAAACTTCATTATGCCATGAAAAGAATATTACTAGCAAAAGCTCACATTTTGTCATGCATTTGCAAGACAAAACACCATAGATTTTTTTTTTTGAGACAGTTTTGCTCTTGTTGCCTAGGCTGGAGTGCAATGGTGCAATCTCAGCTCACCACAACCTCTGCCTCCCAAGTTCAAGTGATTCTCCTGACTCAGCCTCCTGAGTAGCTGGGATCACAGGCATGCACCACCACGCCCGACTAATTTTGTATTTTTAGTAGAGACAGGGTTTCTCTGTGTTGGTCAGGCTGGTCTTGAACTCCCAACCTCAGGTCATCCGCCCACCTTGGCCTCCCAGAGTGCTGGGATTATAGGCATGAGCCAATGTGACTGGCCTATATATATTTTTTTAATTACTTTTTTTTTTGAGATGGAGTCCTCACTCTGTTTTGCCCAGGCTGGAGTGGAGTGCAGTGGCACGATCTTGGCTCATTGCAACTTCTGCCTCCGGGTTCAAGCTATCCTCCTAACTCAGCCTCCTGAATAGCTGGGAATACAGTATTACGACCTATGTGCCTGGCCAATTTTTGTATTTTTAGTAGAGATGGGATTTCACTTTGCCCAGGCTGGTCTCGAACTCCTGACCTCAAGTGATCTGTCTTAGCCTCTCAGTATTGGGATTACGGGCATGAGCCACCACACCCAGCAAGACCTTAGATTCAAGGCAAAACAGGACTTGCTGACTGGGGTTCAGGCAGCAATCTACAATAGAATTTGTCCACTATCAGTGGGATGAAGCCAGGACAGACAGAACAGGAAGGGGATTGAAGGAAAGGGGATTCCCAGGCACCCTTGCTAGGTAAGCTGGGCTCTGACAAGAGAGAGTGATGAGGGTAAAGGGTTAAGGAGTTGTCTGCAAGGTCTTCTGGTCTCCCAGGTTCTTCTTGGTGAGCAAAAGTAAGAATGAACTCTTTTCAGCATTGGACTGAGATCAGGTACTTTTGTTTTCAGGCTGTAGCAGAGTCATCTGCCTTTTTAGACATGGGGGTGGGAGGTAGGTAGATCATAAAAGCCCGTTGCTACTTTACCAAGACACATGCAAAGCCAGGGTTTTTTTGTTTTGTTTTCCGTAGAGATGGGGTCTCATTATGTTGCCCAGGCTGCTCTCAAACTCCTGGGCTCAAGTAATCCTCCTGCCTCAGCTCCCCAAAGTGCTGGGATTACAGGGGTGAGCCACTGCACTCGGCTAGTTTGGTTTCAGCTGCTTATACCTGTAATCCCAGCACTTTGGGAAGAAACAAAACTAATGAGAAGATTCCAGTTATCTTCCAGTTTACCGATTACAGTGAAGAACTGCTTCCACGTGTGTTCCTGCCAGTGTCCTGATGACAGTGAAGAACTGCTTCCACGTGTGTTCCTGCCAGTGTCTGGTGCTACCTCGCTGCACTATTCTCACTTCTTGCTGTGTAAGGGTTCCTGGCCGCCCTTTGTGAAGTCATGCACATTAAACTTGTCGGATCCCACAGGAACCAATGTGCTCAGAGCACAATGGCTGTGTGTGCAAACAGACCCCACAGTGCAGGCCACAAGACCATGTCTGCAGTCTGGTCTGGGTGCAGGAAATTCCCTTCTATAGGCAGCTGTGACTGTGACTCTGACTCTGACCCCTGGAACCAGACCAGCCACTCAAGAATGCAAAACTCCTGGTGTAGACGTGGCGTCTGCATTCTCTCAAGAAAGTGCAGATAATGATCCTGGACCCAAGGTCAGACTGGTGACTGTTTCCCAAGTTGGGGTGTGTAGCACCAAGCAAGAGCTGGCAGTGGGACCGGGCTGCTGTCACCAAGCGCACTTTCTCCCCAGCTCTGCCCCTCCTTCATGCCCACTCTCTGATTCACTGTCTGCCTCACTCTCTTGGTCACACACCCTGTGTGTGGGAGGGTTGCTTGATGTGGGGTGTCATTTTAAGTGTGCTCATTAATTTTTAAAAAAATTAAGATGGGGTCTATTTTGGCCAGGCTGGATTCAAATTCCTGGGCTCAAGGAATCCTCATGCCTCTGCCTCCTGAGTAGCTGGGGTTACAGCCACCATGCCCAGTAATGATGTGTGGTAGGGATGAGAACAAGGCGCTGTACGTGTCACATGGGTTATGCACAAATGCTTGGTCAGTGCTTCTCAATGACTTCCAGGAAGGGCCCCAGTTAGTATCATCCAGTGACCTTGGAAACCCTCTAAGAAAACTACAGCCCCACAATACTTTGTGATAGAACAATTTAACATGAAATTTAAGAAGAAACCATACACAATTGCTTTTCCGTTACAAAAATTTATCAAGGGAATAATTTGAGTTTTTAGAGGCTTGGTTTAGCAAGGTAAAAAAGACAACAAAATTATTAAAACACCTTATAAATTATTTAAAAACCTACCAATTGGGGCCTAAATGAAATAAACCCCTTATTACCTTAGGAAAGAATTGCTTTCCTAATCACAAAAGTTGATTTCCACGCTGTGTTGCCTTGGAGCCCTAAGGAGAACTAAACCTCACCAGCTACAGCTGCTCTGGAGGTCAAGGTGGGAAGAACAGGCAACGTCCTGACACAGGCTAGACATAGATTCTGAGCCAAAGGCAGAGTCTGTGACATGGAAAGGGACCACACAATTTATTATCCAACCACGATGATAAATTTTTTATCTTTTTCTCCTTGTATTTAAATTTAAATTATTTCTCCTACTTTTTTTCTTCTTTTTCATTTTACTACTCTGCACTCATTGGTAAGATATTTTATTATCTTTTTTTTTTTGGAGACGGAGTCTCACTTTTGCTGCCCAGGCTGGAGTGCAGTGGCATGATCCTGGCTCACTATAATCTACACCTCCCAGGCTCAAGTGATTCTCCTGCCTCAGCCTCCCAAATAGCTGGGATTACAGGAGCCTGCCACCATGCCCCACTAATATTTTGTATTTTTAGTAGAGACGGGGATTGGCCATGTTGGCCAAGCTAGTCTTGAATTCCTGACCTCAGGTGATCTGCCTACCTCAGTCTCCTAAGTGTTGGGATTACCACCATGGCTGGCCCCAACCAGGACACTTCTGAGCGTGGAAGAAGGTGCTGTTAATTACTCAAGACGAAAAGGCATGAAAGGAGACAAATGTCTGCCCAAATGATAAAGCAGCTTGGGAAACTACATTTCCCAGTATGCCCTGCCCCTTGAAAGTTAAAAATCTTGACTGGCACAGAGCACCCTGGATACCTGGTTAGCACCATTTAAGAAGTAAACCGTATAGGGCTGGGTTTTGACGTGAAGGTTTCCCCCTTCCATGGGACACTTAGCCAGACACAGGACACAACACCTGAGGTGAAATTTCCATGGATATTAAGTCTGGGGTAGCGCTCTCCCCACAATTCTAGCTTCCAAAGATGAGGAGCTGGTGGAGCTGTCACTGGTCCGCTGCTGTTTCTCCTGGGCACTGCCTCTGCCTCCCCACATCACCAGCATCCCCACTGCTGCTAGTCTTTAGGGGGATTCTGGACCAGGTGCTCTTCCCACTCAACTTCAACCAACTTGTACAGCTCCATGGTGGCCTGGGCATCTTCCACAGAGGAATGTCCACTCTTCCCAGCCTGAACAAGCAAGGAAGACAAGAGCATGAGGCTACAAGAAACCATTTCTTCCTTCCCAGTCGACTCTGCACTCCTCTCCCCACTGCCCCTGCTAGTTTCTTCTGCAGTCAGCAGGCTGCAAAGACAGAATGCTGGTGGGGCCCTACTCCCTATGTAATTTCAGGGCTTCAACTCCTAGGAAGTCTTTGCCACTGTCTACTTCAATCCTTTCTGTGGTAGTATGTATAAGCCATACTAGGATCTGGAGAGACAGAACATACCAGGTCAAAGACAGGCCTTCCAAGCCTTCCACTTTCCTTAGTTCCTTACCTGTGCTTTATGTGACATACATCCACACCTTCCCGCCTGTACAATACATGAGTGGTCCTTGCACCCACCACATGGTCTTTTAGACCGCCATGCTACCTGCTTTCTTCCTTAGTTAGGGTTTTATATCTACTTAGGGCTTTTTTCCTGTTCCAAAGCACACTTTGAAACATTCTATGAGGTAGACAACAGGAATTATTACCCTTGTGTACAGATGGAGAGACACTACTGGGCTCCTGCATCCAAAGCTCTTCCCATCATAGCAGCCCACTTGGATCTCTACAACCACAGGACTTCTGGGATCAGAGTCTGGCTAGGGCATCAAGGAGAGCCATGTCCAAGATAGGGGTGGGGGATGTGGGGCGATGCTACCTGGATATCCCGGTTTAGCAGCTTCTTGGTGAGAAGCTTCAGAGACACGGTGGCATTCTCCGGGCAGTCGGCCTTCCGGTTGAGTGGGGGGATATGGGAGGTGTCACGGGTGAGGGACTTGGGGTGAAAATACTGAAGGGCTTTGAAGTCGTTGTGGATGGCATGTCCCACCACTATCTTCCCGGTGAGTATCTTCAAGATCTGGAACAAGTGTGGAAGACAGTGGTGAGAAGGAAGACTGAGATAGAACCTCTGCATTCTGAAAGCCCAACATGACCTTCAATCCCTTCTGGATTCTTTCACCAACTGCCCGCCTCTTCATCTTTGGAATGTTCTCTCCCACTGGAATCCACCTTTCTCTTCCACAGGTGATTTCCAAGATGTACCCTGTTTGGACTCATACTGCCAGTGGCTCCTTACCTTCTTATTGATCTCTACCCCTATGACCTTAATTTGCCTTCAGTCCTAAATGACACTCATGTTGAGATGTCTATGTATTCAGTTCAGTTCTGGCTTGCTACATGAAGTCCTTTAACTATTATCATTATGCTGGCCTTAAGACACAGGGCTGGGACCAGGCTCCAGGGAGGTTAACAGAAGCCCCAAATCACATGCAACTGGATGTGTATAGGTATTGTTAGAGAAAGGGAGTCTGTTGCTTTCATCAAATTCTCAGAGTCTACAAACATAAAAGATTAAAAATCATGTATAAACTAAAGTTGTAGAAGCAACCTTATTCATACTAGTTTTGGAATCAAGTAAAATAACTTCTCAATATTTCAGGAGGCTTATCTTTTAAAAGAGATGAGGTCTCGGCCAGGCGCGGTGGCTTATGCCTGTAATCCCAGCACTTTGGGAGGCCAAGGCAAGTGGATCATTTGAGGTCAGGAGTTCAAGACCAGCCTGGCCAACACAACGAAACCCCATTACTACTAAAAATACAAAAACTAGCCAGGCGTGGTGATGCATACCTGTAATCCCAGCTACTCAGGAGGCTGAGGCAGGAGAATTGCTTGAGCCCGGGAGGCAGTGGTTGCAGTGAGCTGAGATTGTGCCACTGTACTCCAGTCTGGGTGACAGAATGAGATGAGGTCTTGCTATTTTTCTCAGGTTGGCCTCAAACTCCTGGGCTCAAGTAACACCTCAAACTCCTGAGTAGCTGGGATTACAGAAACATGCTACCACACCTAGCCATTTCAGGATCTTGAAGCAGGGGACATGCTACCAATGAGGACAACCGAAGAACATGCCACAGGCTCTGAAGGCCATTCCCAAAATGAGGTTCCAAACAGGTTTGCAACAAAAGTGATAGTCCTGCAGAGACTCCTAAAGGGACACCCTTTGAAGAGGCCAGGCTCATCTGGACTTACATTAGTCTCATAACCCCAGCTTGGCACTGGGGAAGTGCTTTATGATGCAAGCCAGATGGAGTCCCGTGAACTACATATTTAGTTACTCCTGACTTCACCTACTGACTGTCCACCACCACCTTCATTTCTTATTAATCTCGACATATAGCCTTCATCAAAGCTGGGCTGATTTGCTGTCTCAGACCCGTCCAATCTTCTGCGTCCTCTATGCCTTTGCTTGGCTGTGCCCTTTGCGCACAGGATGTCTAACTCTTCTTTCCGTCTTTTTTAAAATAGTCACCTCACCTCTAATGAACCTCCTTCAACTGATGGCATATAAGCATTATTGGAACAGCATGTCTACAGAAGGCAGTGTGGACCTGAAACTGCATAGGCGCAGACCAAGGGCGCCCTCTGGTGGCCTCCTGAGACCAGCAGGCACCCCTCTTGCTCTCCCTTTCACTTCTTCCTCTCATCCCTCCCAGCTCACTCTTCTTTCCTATTCATGCCATGCAATCCCAATAGCCAGTACAGGGCTAGGAGTGAGGTGACAACCCAATGTGCTGGCCCTGTGCTCTTTTTTTGTTGCTGTTGAGATGGAGTTTCGCTCTCATTCTCCAGGCTGGAGTGCAATGGTGTGATCTTGGCTCACCGCAACCTCCACCTGCTGGGTTCAAGCGATTCCCCTGCCTCAGCTTCCCGGGCAGCTGGGATTACAGGCATGCACCACCATGCCCGGCTAATTTTGTATTTTTAGTAGAGATGGGGTTTCTCCACGTTGGTCAGGCTGGTCTCGAACTCTCAACCTCAGGTGATCTGCCCGCCTCAGCCTCCCAAAGTGCTGGGATTACAGGCATAAGCCACCGTGCCCAGCCTGGCCCTGTGCCTTTTATGCCCTTCACTGCAGGCTACCCATTCCAGTTGGACAAATATACCCTAGCTCCTCCTGTCAACCTTCTGTCCTCTCTTACCACCACCACTTTCCACACTTGCCCCAGGCTACTTTTTGCTTGGGAAGAGCTCTCCACCTTTCCACTCTCAAGTTCCAATTCACAAGGGATTTCCAAATCAATTCCTTTCTCCTGTCTGCAGCTCTGTCCAGTTTCATCACTTGCTGTTATTTCTCTATGCAAATTCCCAGTTCCCCAGACCCAATTTGGAACTTAAAGCTGTTTGATTTTTTGAGAGAGCATCTTACTCCGTCACTCAGGCTGGAGTGCAGTGGCAGTGATCTCAGCTCACCGCAGCCTTGACCTCCTGAGTAGCTGGGACTACAGGCATGCACCTCCAGGCTTGGCTAACTTTTTTGTAGACGAGTCTCGCTATGTTGCCCAGACAGGTCTTGAGTTCCTGGGCTCAAGTGATTCCGCCACCTCAGCCTTCCAAAGTGCTGGGATTATAGGCAAGTGCCACCGCACCAGGGTAAAGTAGGTCTTGACCAATGAAGTTTGTGATACCAGCTAATTGTACCTTCCTGACTTTCACGGCTCCTTCCACCACCAGGGGGCCTTCTTCAACAACTGATATATTCTCCCTGCCTCTACCAACCTTTGGTGTCTTCCCATAGTGATACCCTCTGCTGAAAATTATTTAGACCTCTCTCCATCCACCTCCCTGCCACCATCAAGCCCCTTCTTACCTGGCCTCGGGCAATCTTAAAGGGTGTCGCATTCACCATGTGCTGCTTCCGGATACCACTCCATCTGGTCCGGTAGTCCACAATTTGGCAGGGGGGAAGGATGTACTCATCATAAAGCACATCTCCGTCGTAGTTGACAATGCTACATCTAGCCAAGGAACTAACATGCCCCTTGGGTCCTGTGCCCACCATCTCACAGTCAATTGCCACCATCTTCTGTGGCAACTTCTGGAATGCTCTGGAGCATTTATTCTCTGAATGAGACTGGGTGGAGTTCTGTGGGGCATTCTTCTGAGGATGATTCTTCTTAGAGGATTTCTTCTGGAGGCCCTTCTTCTGGGAGTGGGTTGGGTGGCTGCTGATCTTTGGAAGGGCACTCTGGAACTCCCCCAGCAAATCTACTTTAGCAGCGACAGAATCGGCCTTCTTTGAAGGGGCAGGGGTCACCCAAGACACTGCAGCTTTCTTGTCCAGGGTCTCTCCTGACCCATTGCTGGAGGCAGTTGTCTTCTTTTTTGGGAAAGAAGGGGTCTTCCAAGTGCCATCCACCCTAGGAGTTTCCCCTTTCTTTGGAGGTTCAGAGTGTAACTTAGGCGCCTTGCTAGGGGGCCGGGTTTTTTTACTCAGAAAGCCTCTCTGTTCTAACAGCCTCCTCTTCTTGACAAAATTTCGGTGCTTGGCATTTCCTTCTAATGCCTTTTTAGGAGGAGGTTCCCCAAAATCCAGATTGAGCAGTAAAGTAGACATAGGGACAATGGGAGGTGGAAGAGCAGTTGCCAAGAGTGGCTTATGGATGAAAAGAGGATGTGGGACTCATTCTCTGCTGAATCCTACTGTCCAACATGTGGAAGTCTGTAGCACACCCTGGGGAAGAAAGTGATCCTAGTAATTGAGCTCCTAGGCCTGGGAGAGAAATGAGGTGAGATCGATCTCCGTAGGATTTACGGGAGGAAAGACATCAGAGCAATCTCTCAGACAGAGGGGAAAGGGAAACATAACATGAAACGATGGAGAGAGCACTGGTGTTAGCCAGCAAGCCTGGATTCTAGTGAAGCCCGATTCACCAGCCGTTTGGTCTTACTAAGGTCATTGCCGCGCTCTAGGTTTGAGTCTCATTTGTAAAATGAAGGGACTGGAAGGGCCCTTAGAGCTCGAACCCTCTATGAGTTTAAGAGGCCAGAATACGTGAGCTCTATACTCCGCCTAGGAAAGAAACATCTAGGTATGCTCGAAAGCAGTGAGGGGCATGGCGTAGATAACCTCTGGGCTACCCAGGCATCCGCAGCGCGGGGCCCACGAATAGAGACACAAATCCAGGCATCCCTTTCCCTTGGCTCCAGGCTGGAACTGGGGGCAATCTCCACATCTCACCCAAGTCCTTCTCCCCAGCAAGGACCTTGACACCATCTACCGGGGGAGGGAAGGAGGGGGAATCGAGGTTCGAGGTAGCCCATCTGGATAAGCATACTCCGAATCACCGCGGCGGTAGAGGTGGTCCACTCACGCTCACAAACTTACCTCCTACATGAGCCCAGCTAAGACCGGAAGCGTCCGGAGCCGGATGCGGAAATTGGTGCGCGCCGACGAAGCCCGGAAAGGCAGGCGCGCAGATTAGAACGCGTCAGAGGTCGGCGCGCGCGTACCCGCAGCGCCCCGACCTCGGGTAGCGAGGCCAAAGATTCGGAGTGTGTAAGGAGCGGCAGTGGCGGCGGAGGAGGGGGCGGCGTGGGTGGGGGCGGGGACGGGATGCGCTCCCCCGCCCCTCTAGCCCCGTGGTGGTACAATGCGAAGGTGTGGGAAGGCCGAGATACACCGGAACTGCAGCCCGCCGGATACCTCCGGCTTCACTTCCGGAAGGGAAGAGGAGTGTACGGGAAGGGACGGGACTTGGAACTTGGCCTCCTCGTTGTGAGCTGAGCTCCGCGGCACGCTTTTGTGGGGTCACTGCACTGTTACCCCGCCCCACGTGTCTCCGACGCTGACACCTTCGCACTGTGAAACGTCGGGACCTGTGTCGTCAGGGGGACGCCTCAAATCAACTCCAGCATGGGATCCCGGAAAGGCAGCGTCGGAGACTGGACTCGAAACTTCCTGTTCTGCCGGCGGAGCTGAGCCCCGTCTGGGTCCTGGACCCGCGTGGCACTGACTCTGGATCCCTGTTCACTTCATTCTCGCTCCCAGCGCTCCCTGCTGCCCGGGATGCCGGGCATCTCCGCCCGAGGCCTCTCCCATGAGGGGAGGAGGCAGCTAGCTGTTAACCTCACCCGTGTCCTGGCGCTCTACCGTCCCATCCTGGATGCCTACATCATCGTGAGGCCACAAGGGCGTGGGCGGGGTGTCTCTGATTGTGTGATTGCCTGGGTGCCCACGTCAGGGAGAGAATCTGGAGAGTTTGATCTCTTTCCTTCTATGAGTTTCAGTCTTTTGTCTGTACAAAAAGGGGTTAAAACTGGGGTGTTCCCTCGTTTTTATCAGCTGGCATAAATAATATTTGTGATATCTGCCTAGATTGTTTTTGTAATCTTCCTAGATCCAAGGTAATAAAACGCGTGGACTTTGGAGCCACGCTGCAGCTATGTTGAACTCTTCTTGGAACGTGTGTGGGGATCCAAGAATACACGTTATTCATCCAAGCTTTGAATACATTCGTGGTTTTGTGGTATAGTAAACAGTCCTGGCTCTGGAATCAAAAAAGCTTGGTCTAGAATCCAGCCTCCCCTTCGATGTTAACCTTAGGCCTCCCCAAACGCCAACTTGTCCTAGCCCGGGTTTCCTCAGCTATCAAACGGATTCCAGTCTGAAGGATCATTGTGAAAAATAAATGAGAGAATGTATAAATGGCACGACCATCCGCTGAATTGTTTAGACCACAAACCCAGAGGCCATCCTTCATTCAGCACTGTCCTTCATTGATCCACGACTCAGTCCTTCAACAAGTCTTCTTGGCTCTGCCTTCAGAATAGTTCCCAAATTCATCCATCTGTCCCCACCTCCATTGCTGCCACCCTTGGCCAAGCCACCATCACCTCTTTTCTGAACTACTTACTAACTGCCAGTTCTTCACTGAGCAGCTAGATTGATAGCATTCAAATTTAAATCTCATCATGACAGTCCCTTGCTTCCTAGGTACTTTAATGAAATCCTTACTCCTTACTATTACCTATAAAGCCCATGATCTGGCTCCTACTGTCCCTTCAACTCTATCCCATTTTATTCTCTCACACATTTCACTATGCTGTACCTCCACAGGCCTGATTTCTGTTTTGCAAATATGGCAGGCATCTGGATCTTTGAACTTACTGATCTGACTGGAATGCTTTTCCTCCACAGAGAGGCAATCGCAGAATGGTTAAGAGCAAGGACTCTAGAGTAAAATTGGTTTCAAATCCCAGCTTGGCTGTGTATTAGCTTTTGGATGTGGGCGAGTTACTAAAGTGCTGTGCCTGTTTCTACATCTGTAAAGTAGGGGATAAAAAATAATGCCTACCTTAGCCGGGCGCAGTGGCTCATGCCTGTAATCCCAGCACTTTGGGAGGCCAAGGCAGGTGGATCACAAGGTCAGGAGTTCAAGACTGGCCTGACCAACATGGTAAAACCCTGTCTCTACTAAAAACACAAAAATTAGCCAGGCGTGCTGGCATGCGCCTGTAATCCCAGCTACTCAGGAGGCAGGAGAATCGCTTGAACCTGGGAGGCAGAGGTTGCAGTGAGCCGAGATTGTGCCACTGCACTTCAGCCTAGGTGACAGAGTAAGACTGTCTCGGGAAAAAAAAAAAAAACAGTACCTACCTCAAAGGATTGTTTAAAGGATCAAATGCATGAATACATGTCAAATGTTTACAACAGTGCCTGGCAGAGAAGGTAGTAAATAAGTGTTTGCTATTACCTGTATTTTCTTTACATACCTAACACCTATTCATCATTCAAGTCTCAGCTCAAACGTCAACTCCTCAGACAAGTCTGCCCTCATCATCCTATTTAAAGTAGTCCTTGCCCAAACTCTTCATTACATTACTGTTTCATTAGTGTTTTATTTATGTGACATTTGATGTTGGTCTGAAGTTATTTTTTAATGTAAACTCTGCCAGAGCCAGAATCTTGTCTTAGGCTCACTGTTGTATTCCCTGAGCCTACAGTAGAGCTTGATGTATAACCAAAACACAGCCCTAGAATTTGGGATGGACAAATGAATAAATAAAAAGACACCAGCGGCCGGGCGGGGTGGCTCAAGCCTGTAATCCCAGCACTTTGGGAGGCCGTGGCGGGTGGATCACGAGGTCAAGAGATCGAGACCATCCTGGTCAACATGGTGAAACCCCGTCTCTACCAAAAATACAAAAAATTAGCTGGGCATGGTGGTGCGTGCCTGTAATCCCAGCTACTCAGGAGGCTGAGGCAGGAGAATTGCCTGAACCCAGGAGGTGGAGGTTGCGGTGAGCCAAGATGGCGCCATTGCACTCCAGCCTGGGTAACATGAGTGAAACTCCGTCTCAAAAAAAAAAAAAAAAAAAAAAGACACCAGTGTCTGGTGCATATAATGGCAGGTTACTAAGTGGTAATATACTAATACTGTGTGTCAGTCACTCGTTTTAGGGATGCATATGTGAAGATACCACCCCTCCCGTTAAGAAATTCAGTTTAATAGAGAAAACAGACACAAATAAGTGCAGAAATTGCTCAAAGAAGTGTGTCCAGAATGCAATCTGGATTCCAGGGAAACAGAGTTCAGCCACCAGAGAGTTGAGGCTAGAGAAGCCTTCAGAGAACTGACGTGGCTGAGTAGGAGGTACCTGCTGGTTACAGCCAGTGGCCCTATGTGGCAGCAGTGCTGGGAAGAGGCAGGCAGTGAGGTGTAGAGTTGAAAGTGGTAGTAGCTTGCTGATTGCTTCTCCCCTTCTCCTGTAGGAATTTTTCACAGACAACCTATGGGACACACTCCCCTGCTCATGGCAGGAAGCATTGGATGGACTGAACCCACCACAGCTGGCCACACTGCTGCTGGGGATGCCTGGAGAAGGGGAGGTCATCAGGTATGGACTAGAAGGACCCTGTGCTGGGGAACCCTGTGCTTTGAGCCCTGCAGTGAGCATATTGCTCAGAGTTTCATAAGGTCTTCCTGGACCTCGGGGTGTAAACTGGTGCTCTCAGATGTGATGGGACCATTCACTGGAGGCCTGGGCTGGACTATCTCAGGTACAGGTCAGTGTGGCCACTCACCCTGCTGGCCCTGAAGTCCACGGCCTGTGCCCTGGCCTTTACCCGGACGCCTGGCTTTCAGACCCCCTCAGAGTTCCTGGAGAACCCCAGCCAGAGCTCTCGACTAACGGCTCCATTCCGGAAACATGTCAGGCCCAAGAAGCAGCATGAGATCCGGAGGCTGGGAGAGGTGAGGAGATGGCTGGAGTATGGGTGATATCTGGAAGCCCAGGGACTCCTTAAGCTGTGGCTTACAAAGATGTGTGCCCTTTACCTCACATGCAAGGCCAGAGGCCCTAGACATTCTCTTGCCTCAACAGACATAACTATAATCATATTTTGATGCTGGGGTTCTTTTTCATCATTTTGTGGGGTTGCTTAGTAGCTAGGTCTGAATCACAATCTCATTCCTGTTCTCACATCTGAATCTACTCATGGTGTCACAGCAGGGTTCTTATTCTGTGGGAGAGATGGAATACTGATCTCTGGGGCAAGGAGAGTGGCCTGAACCTGGGGTCAGATCCACTCTCCTCCCTTCCACCCTCACCCCTATGTCTTTCTTTCCATATCTGCCATCACTTCTGGAGCACCCTCTGTCCATCTTTCTCTGTCACCTTTGTCTCCTCCACTCTCAGTATGGGTGTTTGCCCCAGGAGTCAAGAACCAGTGGCCAGGAGACCTTTGCTCCCTCCTCTTTCAGTTGGTGAAGAAGCTGAGTGACTTCACAGGCTGCACCCAGGTTGTAGATGTGGGCTCAGGCCAGGTGAGCCAGAGTCTTGATGTACTGTTTTTTTTGAGTCTTGGGGAGATAGAACAGCCAGAAGGCAGGTTATCAGGCCACAGGCCCAATGAGGCAGGTGTCAAGCTGTGGAACCAAGCACGGTAGATTTTTTTTTTCTTTTTGTACAATTGTTTTTTAAGCAAGTCAGATTTAACAATTGTGGGGGGAGGGTTATATTCCAACTTAAGCCACACTGATGTTAATAAGTTCTGTAGGGTAAAATTTAAACTTTCTGTGGGACCTGGGACCTAGGTGCCCAGGCTACCCATGGGGAGGGTGACAGTGGATAGGGCACTGAACAGGGCTGTCTCCATCCTCCCTCTTACAACTCCAGGGTCATCTCTCCCGCTTCATGGCTCTTGGCCTGGGGTTGATGGTGAAGAGCATCGAAGGGGATCAGAGACTGGTGGAGAGAGCCCAGCGCCTGGACCAGGAGCTTCTGCAGGCTCTGGAAAAAGAGGAGAGGAGGAACCCGCAGGTATGCCACCCCTTTCTGCAGCCTGGACGGCAGGAGCTGGGGCTGCTTGGCTGGAATTGGGCACAAAGGCTCGATTCCATCTTTCAAGTTTCTCAGCTTGAAGCGGTGTGCTGTCTAATTTCTATTACCTCTTTCCCAAGATCCGCCCTTCCCCAGTGCCTCCTCGTATCTCAAAGGTACTTTCTATTTACAAAATGCTTTCCACACCAATGTGCACTTCTTACAACCCGTGAAGTGGCCAGTCAGGTTTTAGACTTGTTACAAATAAGAAAACTGGGTCTCAGCCGGGCACTGTGGCTCACGCCTGTAATCCCAGCACTTTGGGAGACTGAGGTGGGCAGATCACCTGAGGTCAGGAGTTCAAGACCAGCCTGACCAATATGGTGAAACCCCATTAAAAAAAAAAAAAAACAACAAAACTGGGTCTCAGAGATGAGAAGATAGATGTACATGGTAATTGACAGGTCCAGGATTTATCCCATCTCCCGATTCGTGGTCCAGCCCTCTTCCGTGCCCAGCTTATCTCCCACATTCCTCCTTAGGGAATAACATGGAGGACAGATCCCTTCCTGTGGCCTGAGATGGCCTGGGGATAGCAAACAGACTTCCCATCTGCCTTTGTCCTTTCCTGCCTTCACAGGTGGTCCAAACCAGCCCTCGTCACTCCCCACATCATGTGGTTAGGTGGGTAGATCCCACAGCCCTGTGTGAGGAGCTTCTGCTTCCACTGGAGAACCCATGTCAGGGCAGGGCCCGCTTGCTGCTCACAGGCCTCCATGCCTGTGGGGATCTGAGTGTTGCCTTGCTGAGGCACTTTTCCTGCTGTCCTGAGGTGGTGGCCCTGGCCTCAGTGGGCTGCTGCTACATGAAGCTGAGTGACCCTGGTGGCTACCCACTGAGTCAGTGGGTGGCTGGGCTGCCTGGCTATGAACTGCCCTACAGGCTTCGGGAGGGGGCCTGCCATGCCCTGGAGGAATATGCTGAGCGGCTCCAGAAAGCTGTCCCTGGCCTGCGAACTCACTGCTACCGTGCAGCACTGGAGACAGTCATCCGACGGGCCCGGCCTGAGCTCCGTCGGCCAGGCGTGCAGGGGATCCCCAGGGTCCACGAGCTCAAGATTGAAGAGTGAGGTTGGGGGACTGGGGTAGGGGGCAGTGGAGGGGAGATCACTAACTGAATATCTTCCATCCTCACTTTCAGCATAGCCTAAAGAAAATCTAAATATACCCAGAGGAGTGATTTGGAGTTCTCTGACCAGGGCAGCTTCTCAGAATTTCTTTAAGAGAGTTGTCACTCTTCAAAAAAAAAAAAAAAAAAAAAAGGCCGGGTGCGGTGGCTCAAGCCTGTAATCCCAGAACTTTGGGAGACCAAAGTGGGTGGATCACCTGAGGTCAGGAGTTCGAAACCAGCCTGGCCAACATGGTGAAACCCCGTCTCTACTAAAAACACAAAAATTAGCTGGGCATGGTGGTGGCACATGTCTGTAATCCCAGCTACTCCAGAGGCTGAGGCAGGAGATCACTTGAACCCAGGAGGCGGAGGTTGCAGTGAGCCAAGATTGTACCACTGTACTCCAGCCTGGGCGACAGAGCAGGAACTCTGTCTCAAAAAAATAAAATTTTTTAAATGTTAAAAACATGGCTAGTTGGACAGAACTGGCTGAAAATGTTTAAATAAATTTGCTTTTGGGGCCGGGCGCGGTGGCTCACGCCTATAATCCTAGCACTTTGGGAGGCCGAGGCGGGTGGATCACGAGGTCAAGAGATCGAGACCATCCTGGTCAACAAGGTGAAACCTCGTCTCTACTAAAAATACAAAAAAAAATTAGCTGGGCATGATGGTGCGTGCCTGTAGTCTCAGCTACTTGGGAGGCTGAGGCAGGAGAATTGCTTGAACCCAGGAGG